TAAATGAAATGGCAACATATGCCGTAGAAGCGGGATGTAATCGTACGTGTTGTGTAGCCATTAAAAATACTGCTATAATTTTATATGACTTGAAATTTAACCATTTGGGCACCGTTGTTAATTTTTGTACTATCTACTAAATGATTTTGTACAGTTTGTTCATCTTCACATGAAAAGTTGTTAAAAATTGTCAAACCTTTTGATCAGAATCAAAAAGCAATATCTGAAGCTGTCTGCATTGTCCAAATTTATGACAAAATGTAGTCACTTTTTTACAAAATGTCCAAATATTTTCACTGAACTTTGAGTGGGGAAAATATCAGGCAATCAAAAGCTTTAGAATGTCTGGAATGACATTTTGTAGCAGTAACTACACTGATACAATATTTGTCCCGCAAAATAAATTTGAAAATTTGTCCCGCAAAATAAATTTGAAAATTTGTCCCGCAAAATAAGTTTGAAAATTTGTCCCGCAAAATAAATTTGAAAATTTTTCCCGCAAAATAAATTTGAAAATTTGTCCCGCAAAATAAATTTGAAAATTTGTCCCGCAAAATAAATTTGAAAATTTGTCCCGCAAAATAAGTTTGAAAATTTGTCCCGCAAAATAAATTTGAAAATTTGTCCCGCAAAATAAGTTTGAAAATTTGGCCCGCAAAATTAATTCAGTTTACAGTACACCAATTCTCATACAAGATGACAGAGACTGTCTTCATTGCTCAGAAAAGCTCATTGTTGTTATGACAACTACAAATTTGTTTACACCCAACATGTTAATCACCTCATGTTGAAAAATATCAAAGGGACTATTAGCTCATTGAGTTTTTGTTAATGTGTGCTACACCAATATTTTTTTACTCCCATGTGAGAAATAGTTACCCTGTCTCTGTGTATGTATGTCCTCTGCACTGATACCTCAAGAACTGCTTATTGGATTTCAATGAAACTTTGTACATAGATGCTCTGGGATAATGCCAAGGCCTGATTAGATATTGGTTTAAATCTGTGAATAATAATTAACTAATTTGCCTAATAATTAGCTACTAGTAGTTTTCAGCTGTTTCAATTATACGTCATGTATCAACAGATTTCAATGAAATTTCTATTTTTGCCTAAAGCGAGAAGGGCGTCACCTGCGCACGTGTGGGAATCCCAAGCGACGATAACAACACACGCTAAAAACGCAAAGGCTCATGGGTAGACGCTTGTTTCTAAACAATGACACACTATGGCCATCTGACACGTGCGCAGGTGGCGACTCCCCCGCTTTAACTCACATCCTTTCCATACCAACAGCACACAGGTGTTCTTTCTAAGCTTAATTTGATTTGATTTGTAGAGATATGGGATCCATGAAGTAAAAGCCAAGTAAATCTCTAAATTTTATTTTTACATACCGTAAACTGCTTAATCTTTGGTGCCAAGAGAATTCGCAATTTGTTAATTTTATGGCATTCTCAAGACACAATTTTGTGGTATAACCCCAGAGAAATTCTCACTGCTACAAAATTTCACAATTTATACTGACAATTTACAGTAGATCAATAGAAAAAAAATTGTTTATGGCGACTGTTTAAAAACACTGCCATAAGAGAGTGCCAATTGTATTAATTCTTTGAAAATTGAATTACTTTTAGTCAGTTGTCCATATTATAAAGATAATATTGGTAGAATAACATGAATAATCAACCATGTGTCAAATTTCAGTGAAAAATTATACAGTTTCTTTTGCTTGGGTAAAAGTTTCCATCAAATAAATGGAAAAATTAAGTGGGTGTACCCTAACTAGTTTCTATGGAAACAATTATTTGTGATATTCCGTAGCATTGTGCCTTACTCTGACATCCATTTTAAATTGACACTTGTTCAAAATATATTCAACTGAAGTTCATAATCCACTACCTAGTTCTGTATATTCCAAGTTTTGTTTTTTGTTTCTTCAGACATTATTTTTCAAATATGCAGTAACATTTGCATATTACCGTATTTGTTTTGAAGTTGCATTCCTACCGGTACTTTACAAATCTTTGAGATACTATCTATCTACCAATATAGATATAACATTACCGTAAATGTTCAGATTGTAGATGGGTGAAATAAAATTAGCTACAGAATAGGAATTTAAGACAGCCTTCTAAGTTAAAGGGCAATAGTCATCGTGCCGCGTCCTGTTTGATATGGGACTCATACGACGTATACAACACGTGTAAAATGCATTGTTTATTTACATGAAATTCAAACACGCGCTGCACGACGACCACCGCGCTTTAAGCCACATTTCTAGGAGGCTTTGCGTGACCATAAAAGTTAGTTACATTGTAGATATGTTTGTCTAATGGACAAGACCCTCTAGTTCACTCAAAATAAAATTGATGGGAAAGTGAGAGCAGGATATCTACTTTAATATATTATTTTTTAGCTGAAACAGCGTCATTTTGACCCATTTTTTGGGAGTGATGTTTCACATATTTTACAAAGTGGGAATGCAATTTTTAAATTCAGTATGTTCAAATTTGTCCCAGTTGTATTCAAAGAATCGGTTCAGAGATATGTTACAATGAAATTTACATCAATATGTAATTAGTTTATCATTAACACTAGGATGACTAATTTGCATGACGCTCTGCAGGTTTTACTTAGGTGTATATCTTGAGAACTACTTTCAGACCTAGGTGCAATTTTGCATGTCTGCACTATTGAGTGTGATGCAGTGATTCCCTTTTGGTGCTGAACTCTGCATATTAATCAGGTAATTTGCATACAGTCATTTACATATCGAATGTTCAATAATATACTATTAAAATGCTAATTATATCTAGCGATGAAATTATATTTTCATATGCAAATTTATGCTTGAACAAAGTCTGCAAGTACTGTAAAATGACTAATTTTCACTGGGTTTAAATTTCGCATTTTCCAGTCAGCAAAATAAGCAAAATTAAAACCCAGTGAATAATTAACCCTTTTACAGTATTGGTAGCCATATCTTGTGAATGTAATGCCCTATACACAGTACTACTTCATCTGTTGTTTTTTTTTACAGTTCAGAAATATCAGGATTGTGTTTCATTATTAAACAATTAAACAAGTACATAAATTTAAAATCCTTGTAGTTTTAGAAACATGTCTTTATTTTTGACTTGTAACATTCAAAACAGTGTTGCATCTGAATCCATGCATTAAAGTTTTAGTTGGATTGACAAAATATCATCCAGAACAAACATTTCCCGATTCTGTTGTATGTGGCACATTTTACTGGTATGCGAAATTTGCACACAAAAATGTGTTGGTGTTGATTTTAAACTGATGTGCAGGACCTGAAGCAAAAACAATTTTTTTTTTTTTACCTTTCACAGACAAAAAACCTGCATAATATTTTTCC